CCTTTTTTTTTTTTTTTTTTTTTTTTTTTGCACTTTTCGCTTTTAAAAACATTGGGAAGAACTTTCTTCCACAGTTCCTTTGATTTCCTGGTAACTTTACATCGTTAAGAAGTAGAGTGAATTCAGATGCCAATATATCACTTGACTTTACTGGAGCTTAAAAGAAACAGAAGCAATTCCCAAAAAGGTCAAATTGATATCATTTCACGTTTTGATAGCTCAATAGCACAATAAAAAGGATTGGCCAAATACATAAGCGGCCCCTTAAAGCCCGACTTTTTCATTTAGACACCTAGACTTGAGCTAGTACCTATTGAACACATAAACTCCTCAAAAACTGTACCTATTAAACACATCTTTCACAGCTTATAGTGTATAGACAAAACAAAGCGCTTGAATTAAATGCATGTGAAGTGGAAAATGTCACCAATAAGAAAAATACCCGTCGAAAAAGTTGACATGTCAAGAGAACCACCCTCATCCCTCTCCCCTTTGTTCATCTTCTACCACTTTCATCAATTGTCTAACAGACCCAGTCCCAATTCCCAATTCCTCTTTCTCTCAAGAGTTCCACAGTATTTCTATACAAGCTCGTCTAGATACCTATAATGTTTTCTGGAAGAGTGGTTGTGTTGTGTGTCAGAACTGGTGGAGCGGGAATGATACTGGCCAACACGGCGAGGAGCTGGTGGCGGAAAGTTACTACAATGAACGATACGAAAAATGGGGTTCTTGGGAAGCAGAAATTGGGAAATAGAGATCTGATATATAGAAGATTTTGATATTGGGTACAAGGCCAATGGTGCTCAGACAAGCTTGATGCTTTATTAATCAGGGACTCAAGCTTGTAAGGCACTTAGAGAAGAAGGGTATAGGTGAGAGTGATTAGTTCGAATCCCTCAATGATTATGACTGAAACCAAAATGGCAGATAGGAAGGACCTGACTATGGTGAAAAAGATGTTAATGGTGGCTGATCATGGTGGTGCTGGAAATGGGTGGAGATTGGAGAAATAGATATGAGGTTTTTGATGGTGGTGTTATGGTGGAGAAGTAAGAAGCAAGTTTTGCAAGCAAGCCATCGAACTTGCCGCCGGCCATGAAAGTTTCTGCCAAGGTGGGTCAACGAACTCAAGCAAATCAGAGGAAAAGAAAAAGAATGGAAAAACAGAAACAGAAAGAAAAAAAAGAAAAATGGATATTGAACGTGCTCAAAGAGTGTAAAATGCATACCTTGCCATGTCAGCAAAATGTGTTTAATAGGTACACTTTTGGAGGAGTTGAGGTGTCAATAGGTACTAGCTCGAGATCAAGTCTCTAAATGAAAATGTCGGGCAAGTTTAAGGGGCCGTGTATGTATTTGGCCAAAAAGATTTGTTCCTTAATGGAACTGTGTAGAGTTTGGTGGTCTTTGTGCACTTCACCTAACGTTATTGAGGTAAACATAAATTCAAATTGACAACATCTTTATTCAATAGATGCCACAAGCCAATGAAAACACAAATTATATAGTAATACGCAGCTCTACCAAATCGTGAACTTCTTTCAGCTCATGTTCATTGAATCCTTGCATCGCTATTAACATCCTCATTCTAATCCATGGGTAAGGTGGCTCATGTTAGAGATGGAAATAGGCTAATTTAACTGTCAGGATTAAAAGGGAACATCGGGTCTACCAAATCCACCAGTCGGTATCTTATGCAGTCACTTCAAGTCCCAAAATTTAGCTAATACGGAAAAATGGTCTCCACCACCTTAGTAGAACTATCTACTGTAAGAAAGGAATAAAAATGTTGATTTGTCTAACCACTGTACGATAGAATTATTATGGTTGATAAGGATGATAGAGCTAGGATTATTATTTTTTATAAGGATGATAGAACTATTATTTCTCCACTTAAGAAAATTCATTTTCAAATGTTGCAAACATGAAATCAGGCAAGTTAACTGAAAGACAGACTATTTTGTCCTGAATTAATAGTAGTCAAAATGATTTGATGCAACCACTAGATAATGTGCATGTATCAAAGAGTGGCGAGACTTCTATTAAAATTTTACAAATAAAAAATAAAAACGAATAATTAAAAGCACAGCACTAGAACAAACCTCACCGCTGCCCTTCTTAGCTTGCAAATTAGCAACTATGTCCAAGCATTTCTCTATATCAGGAATCTTTGCCTGGCATAGAGTAAATAAGGATAAGAGAAACTCTTCACAAATCTGAGTAGAACAAAATGAAAGCATTACCTAGCAAAACTGAGGCATTTTCAGTATGATTCTGACCAATCGTATCATGAATCTAACTTCATTCATGAAAGTATGACATGAAGATGTCAAACATGCAAGGGCAATCGTTTAATCAGTATCACAACACAAATCTTTACAAACAGTCCAATAATTGTAGAGGCACCAATATGTTTAATACATTTCGAAACTCCACACTTAAAAAGAAGAATCTCTTCTATTTTAAAAATAAATTTGAGAATAACCCATTAGTAGCATGAGGCAGTCTATACTGGCACGTGGAAGCTAGCAGAAGTGGAGAAGTCCAACAATTTTTATAGTTCTGCACGCATAAGCTCTCTTTATAGGTCAGGCAGATTCCAACCTTCAGGAATTGTAGAAAACATCATTCATCTGTGGAGTGATGTAATTACCGTAATCCTCATATGTTGGTCAAATAACTAGTAATCTGAGCATGTGCTTAAGAATGGTATCCTATTCATGGCTATGACATGAAGCAACAAATTGCAGAAGGACAATCTTTATTCCTCTTGCATAACACATTAGTCTGAACACCTATGGAAAACTGAAATGATGCGGAAAGTAACGCATGAATTATCTGAACACTGTGGGAAATTGAAATGATGTGGAAAGTAACGCATGAATTACCATATTAGTTCATTTTTCCTTTCAATCTGATGAAAAGGCTAATCATACCATTAAGTCTTAACAACATTCCTGGAAATCAACAGCAATATACGCCAAACTTAAGTGTGGTTCTAAAACTTCCCATGCACCTTCTGACAAGAATCAACCAAAAAGATTCTGAAAGATGAACACTTTCTCCACTCAAGTTTTCTCAAAAGAACTATGATAATACATTAATGCAAGAACCAACCAAATGTCCACATTAGATGAGACTTACTTGTGAATGGAACTGAATGCGAAATAAGACACAAACATGTACCTGAAGATCCCTCTGCTGAGCCAGAAGTTTCATCTCAACCACTCTGTACTGCTGAAGTCTGCAAATGGATGACATACATACATTGGATATTTAGAGGAGAACATAAGTAACTAGCTACTTGCACAAGTTTTCAAGTGGGACTAACTGGTATGTATCTGGGGCTTATGACTTATTAGTAGATAAATATTCAGAGCCAACAACCCAGAACCGATAGGATTAAAAAAAATTATGACATATGAGTTCTATAGTACAGAGTTAAATCACAAATGAACACAAGAAACTATAGATTTCCAATTTTGTCCAAAACAATTCCCATTTAACTATATCATTTCAAAATAAATACTCCTATAACATTTAGAAGAACAAGCAAGCAACGCAAGCGCTCTATTGATATTAGCATAGTGTGAGAATCCTTATTCAATGGAACTACAACTTATAGGGCATTATTATATATACTACGCAGAGAGGCAACTAATGTCTGTGACAGCAAGGACAATGTTGTCTTCAAATATGAGAACACAAACTTCATATGATGATACCATAGATAACCATGGTTCCATCCACAATTGTTTGGTGCATAGAGCAAAAGATATCTTTAATCAAACCTCTTGCATCTATTTATGGAATTTTATACAATTTAGACCAACCCCATGCAACAGTTTCGCTTGGTCCTTCAGATAGATGATGCTGTATCATTAAGCACAAACCAATTAAAAAGTGCAAGAAGGATCTTTTTGACGTTACCTAAAACTTTTTGAAGAGCTCAGTAATTGGTATACTTATTCATTCAGGTTGTGAAATAATTATGTCATGTAAGGTTAGAAGGACAATATTCAATAAGTAAGAAAGCAAGAAAATGCATGGAATTCTAATAACGAAACAGCATAGATTAGGGAAGATCAGATGCACACTGCCATATCTGTAATCAAACTGATTTTATTTAGTAATCAAAAAATAAAGATGGATGTAGATCAGATTTGCAAATCATTCTCCAATATGCCAATCTTCTCTACTTTTCCTACTCCACTTCTTCTACGCTTTCTTCTTGCATTGGACTAATAATTTCACTCTACCTCTCTCTAGTGAATTACCTTTTTAGTGGGCGCCAAATCAGTTTACATCAGAATACTTCAATCTAACCTAATCATTAGTCGGCCCAGCACAAAGACCCCATTTCAACATAATTATAAAAAGAAAAAGGACCCCATTCAATGCTGTATCAGCTGCCTATAACCTAGTACGTGAGCTCATTTTTACCCCTATATCTGCTCTGCTCTTCATGTAACTCCCACGACAAGGTGTTTGATCTGTACAAATTTCCCATGAAGAAAGAAACTTTAACATCATAGTAAACAACTATTTATCTAATTAAGCATACCCTGAAGTAAATAGACAGAAAATAAAGAAGGAACTCATAAACTGAAACCAAAACTCATCAATTCCCAAGTATTTAACACGCAATAACAGTACAACAACAACTACGCCTCAGTCCCAAACAAAGTTGGAGTCGGCGATATGAATCCTCACTTCTTTCTTTAAGCTCAACTCTTTTTTTTTATAACTCTTTTTTTTATAACTGTGGTATCCGGGCCAGCTTGCGCGCACCTCGATTAATTCCACGAGATACCTGCCACCTCCCACTAGCAACAGATATCAGGTAACTCTATCCACCAAGGCATGGACAAATGGAAAAAAATCACTNATATATATAATGAGAAAAATAGTCATCTTTAACCCTATTCCTAACTAGTAAGTATCACCTATATGGATCTTTTTCTTCACAAGTATTTAACATGCAATAACAGTAGCGATGAGAAAAAAACAAAGATGTAAAAAACAGAAAGGCTTCAAAATTTATGTAATAACAAATTTCCCGGCAATTATAGCATCCCTACAGATTGAACCTCTCACATCATAGCAAACAATAATTTTCTAGTGATATAAACCCTGAAGTAAATAAACGGGGGAAAAACAAAGAAAAGAAAAAAGAGATACCAGAAAGGTTCTAGATGTTACTTATGTGGAAATCAGGCAGAGACAATCAACCACCTCTCTTTACACTGTAAATGGACTGACCAGCTTTGGGAAAGTTTCATCAGCTTGAGGGAAATAAAGTGGGTGATGCCAGGGATAATAACTGATGTGCTAACTAGTTGGAGCAGAGATGGCAATTTATCAAGTCAGAAAGAGAGAGGGAGGATTGTCCCAACAAGAGAGGAATCAGAGGTGTTTTGAAGACAAATATAGCACCATACAAAAGCTGAAGATGAATTGTTTAGTGCTGTTATATTTTTGGTGTAAGCAAGAATATTTAGAAGATGCTGAATCTATTTTTGAAGTCCTAGACTATTTGTAAGAAGGCAGACAGATAGGATCTTTTCTTGTATTTTACTATGTAATTTTGGGTCACTTTACAANATATATATATATATATATATATATATATATATATATATATATATAGGAGAAGCAATCTCCAGTACCCTAAAGAATGAAACTTTCACATCATAGCAAAGAACTATTTTCTAATTAAGGAAGCCTGAAGAAAAATTAACACAAAACAAAAACCAAAGAAGCTCCTAAACTGAAGTCAAATCTCTCCATTATACCCAGCCACCAAACTTGGTTTACTCAAACTTTAAGTCACAACAAATATCCCAGCATTTCTAGTATTCCCAAAGAATCGAACTCTCACATCATAGAAAACAACTGAGTAATATCTAATCAAGCAAACCCTGAAGTAAATAAAAAGAAGGAACTCATATACTCAAGCCAAAACACTCCAGCACACCGAAAATATATGTAAATGACATTTTCAAGCAATCCTAAAATCCCTAAAGATTGAAACTTTTAACATCATAGCAGACAACCAACTCCGAATTTAAGTAAACAATACAAAACAGAAAACAAAAAAAAAGACTCATAAGCTGAATTTAAAACTCTACAGTACAAGTAATCTCTGACCTTGATTTGATCTCAAGTAATAAAAACAATAAAATTAGCTAGGAAACAAATCATATACTTACCTTTCTTGGAGGAAGGCAAGAGCAGAGTTGACATCGAGAGCAGATTCATTGAGATACGACTGTACGTCTTCTACAAATGCTGCCGCCGGTATTCCCCTTCTCTCCGTTACACCACTTGCCGCCATCTCCGTAGAGATTCCTTCGCGGTGATTATTCTCTTGTGGTTTTTCTCACTTTTTTTTAGTTGGAGCGGCAAAACCCTGAATAGTTGAACAGGGATAGAGGCGTCGTCGTTTAGTGTTAATGCGACGACATTTCTTTTTTATTTTTTGTATGATATAAAATTCTTTTATCCAAATAAATACAAGAATTTTCACTTCCTCTAGAAGAGAGATGATCAAAATTTATCCGAACTTATTGATAGAGTTACAAGTTGACATGTGAAAAAAATAAGGGAGTTTCATAAATGTAGTTGTACGATTACTTAACAAATTATAGTAAAAAAATAAAATAAAATTTGTTAATCAATGAAATCATTTCTTTGCTACCAACTTCGTCTCATGCTCCTTCAAATAAATAAAAATATAAATAAAAACTATTGACACTCATTCTTCTATCTAGTATATTAATTAATTCCATCTTTTACCTTTTCATTTTAGTAACCATTGCATCACCCTTTTCATCCATGGATAGGTTCAGCAGCATATTTCACCTCTTCTCCACATTTTTTCCCATAGAAATGGACAAGCCTTAGAGCTCCTTTCTTCGTAGGAATTCATCCAATCTTCAACAATCAGTACTACTGTCGAAAACAAAGACTTAGATACGAGCAGAAACCACCATTGATGTGGTGATCGGAGCTCGCAGAGAACAAACGAGAGAGAAGAAGAGAAAATGGCGGAAGGTTCTGGAGAGAGAGAACCGACTCTTTTCATAAAGAAAAAGTGAAAAGTATATCTGTATTGTACTGTACATATACACATACTATGTTTAGCTAATTACGAAAATACCCTCAACTACTAATTATAAAAATACCCTCAACTACATAAATACATCTACAATACTCTCAATACCCCCCTCAAGTTGGAGGTGAGGAACTCACTGCCAACTTGCCAAGAAAAGAAGTATGTTTGATCCCTGTTAAGGCCTTCGTAAATATGTCTGCTAGCTAAGCATCTGTGGGAATGTGATGCAAAGTAATGAGGCCATCATGTAACTTGTCTCGTACAAAATGACAATCCACCTCTATGTGCTTGGTACGCTCATGAAACACTGAGTTTCTTGCCATATGTATTGCAGCTTGGCTATCACAAAAAATTGAGATAGGATGTAAGCAAGGAACTGTCAGTTCTTCTAGCAGTCTCTTAAGCCAGATTAGTTCTCCAACTACTTTTCTTACTGATCTGTATTCTGCTTCTGCAGAGGAGAGGGAGACTGTTTCCTGCTTCTTGAATTTCCAGCTGATAGGACTATCACCTAACAAGACAATGTATCCACTCACTGATCGTCGAGAATCAGGGCATGCAGCCCAGTCTGAGTCACAGAAAGCCTTCATAGTGCAATCTGGGTTGTTGGAAAAGAAAATGCCCAAGGTTGGATCATTCTTAAGATACCTTAAGACATGAAGGGCAGCTTTAAGATGAGGTTCTCTGGGTGTTTGCATGAATTGACTTAAGTGCTGAACACTATAGGCAATGTCTAACCTTGTATTGGTGAGGAAGTTAAGTTTCCCAACTAACTTTCTATAGTGAGTGGGATCTGCCAGCAGGGTTCCCTCTTCTGCCTTCAACTTGATAGTACAGTCAAGAGGAGAAGAGACTGTAGTGTACTGATTGTCATACTCTCTCAACAGATCTGCAGTGAACTTCCTCTGTGAAATGAGGACTCCACCATCCTTGTAGAACACTTCTAGTCCCAGGAAATAGTGCAACTTTCCTAAATCCTTGATTTTGAACTGATCATGGAGGAAAACCTTTAGTGCCTTAATTTCTTCTACATCTGTATCTGTAAGAATCACATCATCAACATAGACAGCCACAAATACTATTAAAAGGCCATCCTTTTTACAGAACAGTGAGTGGTCATTTTCTGAATGTCTAAAACCCCTGGTGCACAATGCTTCAGTCAGCTTAGCATACCACTGTCTGCTTGCTTGTTTCAGTCCATACAAGGACTTATTTAACTTGCAAACTAGACTAGGAACCTCAATCTGCAGTCCCTGTGGTACCTCTGTGTACACCTCTTCATGTAGATCTCCATGTAAGAATGTGTTGTTCACATCTAGTTGGAAAAGGTTCCAGCCCCTTTTAACTGCTATGCTAACAGTTGTCATCTTGACAACTGGAGAAAAAGTTTCAGTATAGTCTATTCCTGCTTGTTGTGTGTATCCCTTCACCACAAGTCTTGCCTTGAATCTCTCAACAGTCTCATTTGCCTTGTGTTTGATTTTATACACCCATCTGCATCATATGGCTTTCTTACCTGCAGGCAACGTCACTAAATCCCATGTATGGTTAGCATGCAAAGCCTCAAATTCTTGTGTCATGGCTGCTTGCCATGCAGGGTTTAAGGCTGCTTCCTCATAAGAACATGGCTCAGATTCATGAGTAATGTTTCTCATCATATGTTGACTATCCTTGTTTAAAGCAGTAAAACAAATATGTTGATGGTCTGAAAGGGGAAAATTGAGCAAGATAGTGTGTGATGTATTATTCTTTAAATTTGGAAGGGAATACACTTATTCACTTAGGTAGCTTAGTGTTTTTACTGTCCTGGATGGTCTTGTAGGACTTGGGAATGAGTAAGTGTTGGTGGTGTGTTGGTCTGAGGTATTTGAAAGGATAGGTGAATTTTCAGAAACACCTGGTTGCTTTGATCAACTAGTGGGGAAATATCTTGATCACCTGGTAAAGAAACGTTGGTGACAGAACTTGGTAAAGTCCCAGTTGGTGACTGACTATTACTCAAGGCAGCATTTCTATGACCTTCGCATACAAGATCAGAATGAAAAGATGGCAAAACACAAGGAAGAGAAGTGTGATCAGAAGACACTACAAAAGGGAAAACATGTTCATGGAATTGTATATCTCTGGAAATATGTATTCTTTTAGTGGCTAAGTTCAGTACCTTGTAACCTTTTGTGCCAAAGTACCGCCTACAAAAATATGAGGCTCAGTTCTGGGTTCAAATTTGTCTTTATGAGTTTTAAGAGTGGTAGGATAACATAGGCATCCAAAGCTTTTAAGGTGTGAATAGTTGGGTTTGTTTTTGTAAAGTATTTCAAAAGGTGATTTGTTATTCAGGACTGTAGAGGGTAGTCTGTTAATCAAGTATGTGGCTGTGAGAATGCATTCTCCCCAATATTTTATAGGTAACTTGGACTGATACAGTAAGGCTCTAGCAGTTTCCAACAAGTATCTGTGTTTTCTTTCCACCACGCCATTTTGTTGAGGTGTGTATGGACAGGTTTTCTGGTGTATAATTCCTTTGGAATGAAAAAATGATGAAGTTTCATTGTTGACAAACTCCAGTCCATTGTCAGACCTCATGGACTTAATGGAATTAAACTGGTTCTCTATCATAGACACAAAGATTCTTAGAACTTAAAGTGTATTACTTTTACAACTCATAAGATATGTCCAGGTTGACCTACTAAAGTCATCAACTATGGTAAGAAAATATTTGTAATTGTCATGTGTGACTGTGTGGTATGGCCCCCAGAGGTCTATGTGTAATAGTTCAAAATCATTTGTAGATGATGTATTTTTCTGTGGAAATGGTAATCTTGTTTGTCTGGCCATAGGGCAAATTGAACATAAGAATGGTTGTTTGGGTGCAAAATTTACAGGTATAGATGATATTCCCCTCATTTTCACAAAAGGTACATGGCCCAATCTGTTGTGCCACAAATAGTCAACACAAATTCCATAAGATGAAGAATTAGAAAAGGGTCCACACACATTAATAGGACAAGAAGATGTACAAGAACCTTTCTTATTGCTTGAGAGTGGAACATTTATAGATGATGATGAAAGACAATTAGCAGGACAAGTTTCCAAGTTGTCATTATTTACAGTGAGTGATTTATGTGGTTGTGCATTGTTTGGATTGCTAGTAGAAGCAGAACATGAATTTGCAACGAGAGAAGTGGGGACAGTAGCTGAACTAAGGAACTGACATTTTGAGCAAAGGAAGTACAGACCATTCCTTGCTCTACCAATCTCCAGAGGCCTCTTCATTGAATGGGCCTGTAAAATGCATGAAGTATCAGAAAATTGGACAATTGTCTTAAGGTATGATATTAAACAATGAACTGAGATCAAATTGAACTTAAAACTGGGGACAAACAACACTTTGTGTAAGGTCAGCTTAGGGCTAAGGACTGCATCACCAATTTCTGTCACTCTAACTTTGTATCCATTTGGTAAGGTTACTAGGAAAGGATAAGGTAGAATTCTAATGTTGGTTAATAGGGCTTTGTTATAGGACATATGATTAGAAGCTCCGGAGTCTAAAATCCAATATTCAACAGATGATTTAAAGCATTTACATGAAAGATTACCAATGATTTCTTTATGAGTAGAGCAAGCCAATATACCTGCAAAGTTTGCTGCCCCACTAGTGATGTTATTTGAGACTTCAATTGCACTTCCACCATGGAAGTTCTCCAACAGATGCAATAACTGATTATATTGCTCCTTTGTCAGGTTTTGAATCCCCATGCTTTGATTTCTAGCACCAACTTCACTGCATCCTCCAAAAACTATCCCTTCAGGTCCTCCATGCATACTTGCAGCGGATGCCACACTTTTTCCTTTAGTGAATTTGAAGTCCTGGGAAAATCCGTGTAGTTTGTAGCATTTATCTTTAGTGTGCCCTTGCATCTTGCAGTAGTCACAAAACAGGCGTGACCTGTTGGATGGATAACTCCCTCTGTATGAGTTGTTTCCTATAGTGTTCCTCTGTTGAGCATAATTTGTCCTAAAAGCTGGATTTGCAAGACCACTGACATTCATTGAAGCAGACTCCATCATCAGATGGTTACTTGGCCTAACTTCCCTTTGTTTTTCTTCCTGGATCAGGATAGAAAAGGCTTGTGCAATACTGGGCAACGGATTCATCATCAAAATGCTTCCTCTCACAACTGTGTAGACCTCGTTTAAACCCATTAGAAACCTAATTAGCCTTCTGTCTTGTTCAGCCTTGTGCATATTTGCCTTGGCACCACAAGTACACTGGCACTTACATTGTGCATGTGCATTCAATG